CTCCCCGCGCGGCCCGTCCGCCGCACCTGGGGCCGCGCCGCCCCTCCCCCATGGCCGGGGCCCGGGCCCCAACACGCCGTGTGCGTCCACGCTGCCGCCGGCCGGGCACCGCAGCTGCCCGCGGAAGGTCAGGCTTGGGGACACCGGCTCAGCGCGGCCGAGGGCGGAGTGCGCGCCGGGAACTGCGTCCCGCGGGGAGCCCTTGGGCGGACGGAGCCGGAGCGCGGGGACCCTCGGGGGTGGGGGCGAAGGCAACACTCACCGGTTCCACAGTCGCCATCTTAGATCGATCTGATCGCACAACCGCTCCTGGGGGGTGGGGGGGGGGCGAGAGGAAAAAAAATGAGATTCAAACCGGATTGGCCGGCTCGTTTCCACGTGACGGACGTGCCCGTTTGGCCCCGGCGGCGCCTGCGCTACTGCAGCTGCGTGGGGAACCAGAGGCTTCTGGGAAGTGGAGTCTCTTCTTGCGCTCTTTTTTTTAAGGCAAAGTTTTTTTTTTTTCTTTTTTTGAAAAAGGCGGGTCACGTGGCTGCCGGGCAAGGTGATCGGCTGTCTGCACCGCGGTCGCGCGTGCTGCAGAACGGGCTGTGGTCCTGCGCTCTGCGGCCTGGAACCTACGGGCGTGCTCACCGCGGGGCATGCCTGCCGTGCCCTAGGTCGCCCCGGCCTCCCATCTTCCCCAGGAGCTCGGGAACTGCAAGCTCAGCACGCACAAGACGGCTTCATTGGCTTAGCCGAGGTCCTGCATGCGTTGATGTGGGATTTATGTGGCTTTCCTTTCGCCTCCCAGCATTTTCTCGAAGTTTCCGAAAGCGGCGGCGATGGCGAGGCTTCGAGGCGGTCCGTGCTCCCCCGACCCCGGCCTAACGCCGGTGGTCACCTGTTGCCATCGCAGCCCCGGAGGATGGGCAAGACCCGCCGGTACCCACCTACTCGCACGCTCTGGGGTGGGGGAGTGCACGCGTCGGCTTTTCTGGTTCCCGGCCCTTAGATGAAGACCTGGGGCTGAATCTTACTGGAAGTTTAAAAAAAAATTTTGGGGAAGTTCTGTCCAGTCGGTTCCAGTATTCTGCTTGAACGTGAATGGAAATGGTCTACGTCCAGGTGCCAGCCTGGGAAACCACTCCGGGCTTCCCTGACTCAGCCCTGGACTGACGGTGAGGAGTCGTTAAGCCGAGTCAACTATGACTTGACATTGAGTCATGCTCCTTAAGCGAGTGACTTAATCTCTCAGCGCCTCCGCTTTTCCATTTATGAACCAGATACACTTACCTCACAAGGGTGTGCTGTGTAATGACTGTAACCAGCTTTGAAAAGGCATCGGACTCCAAAAGCTTAGAAGCAACCGCATGCTTTCTTAAGAATCAACTGCTTCTCCTGAAGTTTAACCCCCATTTTTTCCCACCATGAATTTCCTGTAGCCCAGCGCGGCCTCGAACTTGCTGGTTTTGAATCCCTGATCCTCCTGACTCTACGTAACCACAAAGTGCCACCACTCGGGTAATTTGGTGCTAGGGGTCAAACCCAGGGCTTCTGGTGAGTGCTAGGCAAGCACTCTTACCAACGGAGCTACGGTCCCTACCCATAACAGTGTTTTTAATTTTTGTTTTGTTTACTTTGTTACGTTACAATGTACACCAATACAGTTTTTAAGTCTCAAGTTCATTTTTTTCTTTACAAATACAGCTGCTCTCAATAGAAGCTTTAATGTTCAAGAAATTATGTTCATAACAGCCACCGACGACTATTAATTTGTCCCCCACACTGGCATGCTACATTTTCTTCTAAGTTACTATACTGTCATTTCTCAAGACGTTGTAATTCTGCACGACTGGGTTAATACAACAAAGGGATGCAGAGGTCTAGGCAGAATTCTAATGGCATGATCTGCTTGCAGGAAAAGCAAGAGAAGCAGGCTGCTGGTGCCCTGCCTCCTTATGGTGTTGCTGATGTCCAGGGCTGTGTCATAGTAATTATTGAGTACATAATGGATGCTTGGCTTGACTAACACATAATTGAGGTTGTATAAGAACTCAAAGCCGATGCCTCTTCCTATGTTTTGGTTTACCAGAATGGCAGAGGAGATTAATGAAAGCTTTTGTTTAGTCACTGTCAGTAGATTCTAAAGAAGATAGAATTCTGAAAACTAAACAGAGGGATTTCTACATATAAAGCCTGTTATACTATCCAAAGTAATTACAGTTGATTTCTTTGATTATTTACTGCTGGTAAAAAGTGACGTCTGGTTGATTTCCTTGAAAAGATAGCATGGCATGCTGTGGATGTAGTTCAGTTGGTAGAGTGCTTGCACAGCATGCAGGAAGCCTGGGTCTTGATCTCCAGGAACACATAAAACCTGCATGGTATACAAGCCTGTAATCCCAGCCAGCACTCTGGATGATCAGAAATTCAAATTCAGTTACACAGCAAATTCCAGACCAGCCTAAGCTACATGCAACCTTCTCTCAAAAAAAAAAAAAAAAAAAATGAAAGACCACATATAAATATTCTGTTTTCATGAAGCTGATAATAGCAAAAATCAACCAGATGGCTAAGAAAACACCCAGATGAGCCTGAAAGCCAGTGATATTGGTGAAGCATGTTTTAAATAGCTTTCATGTGTATTGTTTTGTCTTCACCCCTCCCTCCTCCAGTGTCAATCAAAATTCATACTTTGGACTATGGGTGTAGCTCACAGGTAGAATGTTTGCCTAATGTGTTGAAGGCCTTGGATTCAACCCCCAACACTCTTGCCCTCTAAAAAAAGACTTGTGCTTTTACACTATTTCACTATGCCCCTATTCTTTGTACTTTAACTGATATCTATATTTGTGTATGCCTGTTGCATTTTTTAATAATCATGTACCTCTGCCTAATGTGAACACTGAGACTGTATTATGTCAAATATTTGGTGACTAGGTTTTATGTGTTATGTCTGTGTGTAATTTTATTTTTCTTATTTATTTATTTATTTAGACAATGTCTTGTTATTTTGTCCAAGGTAGTCTTGAACTCCTGGACTCAAAGAATCCTCTCATCTCAGCCTCCAGAGAAGCAGGAAGTAAAGGCATTGGCAATCTATGCCCAACTCTGTGCTACTCTCAAATATACCCAGCAGAAATTTTACATCTTATGTATTAACTTAAAAATGCATTTATTACCTTGCTACTATATGTATGCTTATAATTAAGAAAAAGAAAGTTTAGGGGCTAGAGAGATGGCTCAGTGGTTAAGATCACTCAGTGCTCTTCCAGACGACCTGAGTTCGATTCCCAGCACCCACATGGTGGCTAACAACTATCCATAACTCCAGTTCCAGGAAATCCATCAAATTCTTCTGACCTCCATAGGCATTGCATGACACAGGTGCACTTACATAGGTGCAGGCAATACACTCATACGCATAAAAATAATAAAATACTTTTTAAAAAAGAAGCATGCCGGGCATGGTGGCTCATGCCTTTAATCCCAGGACTTGGGAGGCAGAGGCAGGAGGAGCTCTGTGAGTTGGAGGCCAGCCTGGTCTCCATTAGCAAATCCAGGCCAGCTGTAGCTATAAGAAGACCTTGTCTCAAAAAGACCAAAAAGAAAAAAAAAAAAAAACCAACTTCTAGTTACATTTTTTAACCCTGCTCACTTTCTCTAAACTTCATAGTACCTGTACTGTAACTTATGCTCTATTTTTATTATTATGGCAATTTTCCTTCAGGAGAGATTCAAGATGATAGATGATGTCTTCTAAGATGAAAAATAGTTTTTGAAGTTATAATTGTACAGTTCTGTCGTTAAGAACATTTGGTGTTGTGTCAAGTTATCATGCTGCCTCCTGTTGCTTGTTGTGTTGGCAGGCAGAGTCTTTAGTCTCTTTGTGCCTCACTTTTTTTCAAGAGTTACATGGGGAAATTATTGTTTTATTTGACTAGTGAAGAATGATGTTTGGAATGGTTCTTGCAGCAGAATAAGTATTTAATGTTATTTGTCATTACAATGATATGGCATAAATTTCTTTCTTCCTTTCTGGAATATGCTAGGCAAGTGCTCTACCATTGAGCTATATCCACAACTCTCCTTAGTCTTTATTTTGAGACAGGGTCTCATTAAGTTGCCCAGGCTGGCCAGCCTTAAACTCACTCTTTTTTTTTTTTTTTTTTTTTTTTGTTTTTGGACTTTGAAGCGAGGCTTTCTTTTTTTTTTTTTTTTACTCGCTATGTAGACCAGGCTAGCCTTGAACTCACAGAGATCCACCTGCCTTTGTGTTGGGGACCCCTGTTGTGAAGAGTAGCAGTCTCTTCATGTCCGGATAGCCCACGGGGCTCGGCGTTCAATGCAGAGACTCCTTTTATCAGCAGGGTGCCTTCCTACTCTCTTCCTGACTCATCTTTGAAGTAGCCATCACAGAAACATGGCCTCTGGCTCTGAAACTGCCAGGTTTTCCTGTGTGATAATCACGCAATGTCTGGCAGCCTGGCAGAAGCCCACCACCACATGTAAATGGAGCATCCTGAAAGCACCTATCCACTAAGGCTTTTGCCACTGCCCCCACAGTATAAATATCCTGGTTTCCCCTAATTAATCGGAGCTGAATCACTAAGACCTGGAGCTGAGCTGAGTCACTGAATAAAGGAGCTGTACCACTGAGTCTGACTGAGCTGAGTTCTGTGTCTTACTCCCTCCAATCCAGTCTTCCCGGAGAGAGCTGTCTCTTCGTAAACCACGACTCACGGAGACCCTGCTTTCGCCGTCTCCACACTTCCCACGAGATCCGGTGGATCTCGTACCTCGAGGGAGTGCTCGGTAGTTTGGGACGGAACCTGCCCAGGCGACTGACAGCAGCCCTCTAGAGCCACCAGCCCTGGTAGCAGAGAGCCTCAGCAACACGGTGCGTGACTCGCGCGCACCCCAGCGGCCAGCGGGAGACCAGTGCCACGCCCAGCAGCTGGCGCTCCGAGATCCCTGCGACCCCATACCTTTGTCTCCCAAGTGCTGGGACTAAAGGCGTGTGCCACCACACTCTTGTACCTCAGACAAACTTTGAACTTGCCACCCTCCTGTGTCAGCTTCCCAAAGGTGTGGCATTACAAACCTGTACCACAAGGCCAGGTTTTTTTAATTTTTGTTTTTGAGACAGAAGCTCACTATGTAGTCTAGACTTGCCTGGAACTCACTAAATAGGCCCAGATTGGCCTGAAACTGGCCAATCCTCCTGTCTGTCTCCTGAGTGCTGAAATTTAGGGGTATACCACCATACCTGGAAACATACATTTCTTATTTCTTCTTTTTTAGTAAAGTGTACTATGTTCAAGAAT